CATATGTTGCAGTCAGAGAGACAAAACCAACGTTGAGCCTTGCACGCAAGTGCATCAGTTCAAGTTCCCACACTTCGCAACAGTATACAAAGAATAAGTAAACAGAGTGATATGAAAGTACACAGTTGTGTAAGACAATCTGAAGATAAAAGTTTATGAATACTCAAGCTTTAGATATCAAAAAGTGAGAATAAATCTGCGTCGTTGTGACCGATTTTCAGCCATCTTACCAAGTGTCATCAACCATTTATTACTTTCCTCTCGCAGCCCCAACCAGGCAGTCAGTCTACATCTCTCCACATGGGTCAATCCAACAGTAAGAGACTTCATGGACTAGTGCCACGTCCTTGGCCTGGTAACCCTGAACCCTATCCCATCTTAATCAAGCTCCTTCTGGTGGCTCGGCATACGCAGTATATGTTCAAGCCGCCTCGGTCGCTGACGGTTCGTAAGCAGAAATTTTGCTAACCCCCCCCCCCTATTTCTGGGGATACAAATCCTCAAGTAGAGTGAAGTGTTCGAAACAACCCATTACTTTTTATCATGAAACTGCAAGTAGTTGCAGATGATGCGAGTTGGCAAATGGCAAACAGGCCTTCTGTGCTCTCGTCGAGTTCTCGGATCTGCCTGGTTTCCTCGAGTTTGCTGTCCTGGAGCTCCAGACAGGCGTCGGATAGCTATGGATCCCAAGATCTCGGACGCAATAGTAGTCAAACTAATTCCTCTGTGGTTGTCACTAGATTTCTCTCCCTCCTCATAGACTATGGTGACCAGTGAAGTACACCAATTTGACGACACTACCTCTGATTCCCATACACAAACTAGTACCCTCGTCACTTTAATTAGCAATTTCACGCCTCCATCCTTGAAAATTTCAGGTGGCAAATTGTCATGCTGCTTTGCATTGTTTCAGGTTCAATGCAGCTTTCCCAACTTCCGCGACAGTTGGACCGCCGACATCTACGTCCCACACACACTCAAGCTGGATTTAAGGTAACTGAAGCATTGCTGTCGACTAGTTAAACTGTGCTTCGAATTTTCATTTGCTCAACGTTCCCTCTGTTCCTGGTGAGAGGTTCTCAGTCTTCTGTCCATTTCGGTGATGGCTTCAGCCACCATCATCTTGCCGATATCCCTAATAAGCCTAAATAGGTGCCGAGTGTTGCGCAACGCTGGTCCCTCATCTCCAGCTCTCTCGCTTTTGCCACCCACTATTGCTCGCGGTCGTCACGAAGACTGCTAGCTAACTTGCGTTTAAGCTGCTTTCGGTCTTCATCGAGGTCAGACCCAGCTGAAATTGGTCTTGTGGCATCAATCGGTTCGGATGACGTAGCGGAAATCCATTGACGGTTTTTAGTCTCCAGGTGTAGGTTAACAACCGTCTTTACCGTTGTTTCTACTGCTGACTCAATACCACGCAACGTCCCCTCAGGATGAGCATTGCCATCACGCTGAGATAAATGCTTTACTAACTCTTCCTTAAATGCACACTTGACGTTTCCATCTTCCAGTCGAACATAGACAGGGTTTACTACCGCTTGTTTCCTGAGACCAGTAAGGTGCAGACATACACGAGCCCGTAATACCGTGTGTTCACAGTCCAAACTGGCGACAATCCTGCACTGATCCTCTCCAACGATGGCTTATAGAAATTTGATTTATCTGTGCCCATCGTTAATTTGATGTCAGCGGACGCCATGTGAGACAGTGTCTCTCCTCATGCCTGAAGTTAGTGCTGGCCAGAAACAAGCGATTGTCAGAAAAAAATCGCAACAGACGAACAACCTTGTCGATTCGTTAGCATGAGATTCCATAGGTACCTTCAAGATGCCTTTCCGATTGACTCAACTTCCCTAATTTAGCGTTAAAATCACCTGCCATTATGACTACATGTGAACGTTTCGATTTCCGCCGCAAAATTGACAGCTTCACATAAAATTCATCCTTTGCATCATTCAAACTGTAGTCAGTGGGTGCGTAGGCGATTAGGAATAATGGAGAATATTTGTAGCTCAGGTGGATGGTCTTGGTTGTATTGTGTTCTCTGAGCTAGATTGTTTATTCGTGAAGCCTGCATCGCCTTGCTAGACGACATCATCAGCACTAACCTCAGTACGAAGTGAGCTGTCAATATCTCACTCAAGGAGAGATATTAACAGCTCACTTCGTACTGAAGTTAGTGCTGATGATGTCGTCTAGCAAGGCGATGAAAGCTTCACGAATAAACAACCCAGCTCAGAGAACACAATACAACCAAGATTAGGAATAAGCATCACCCAGTCGTCCCACGATCCTTCCTAGTCCCTACAGATCCATTCAGTCAAACACCACATAGACGACTGTGTACTAGAATACAGTCGAGGAGAGCACTTTCTGGCCTACAATCCAATGCTATGCCTTCACTAGCTAGTCTACGAGAGCTAGCCATGGGGTCTCCAGTGGATTTTGAAGATTCACTACTATGGCCAGGTGAGGTCTGTTTCATCCTAATGCTCCGGAGGATTGATACTAGTTAACATATTCCACAACCAGAGCTGTCTTCTTGTGTAGTGTGATGAGAAAGGAGGAAATCCAGCAGTTCTCAAGTTTGTTTGAGTCGGTCACTACGACGGTTTATGAACTATCAGCCCTAACGAGCGGGCTGTGTGTCTTATCGAGATAGGGGTCTTATTACGAAGCTGTGATACAGTACACAACGGAGAAAATACACCAAAGAAGCCGTATGTGGTAATCTCTAACCAAAAAACATTTTTGGCCAAATTTAACAATCGCTACTACGTCTCAGCTGTATACGAGATACATATATCTCATATTTGCTTGACATTTCGTCCTTGTGGCTTATAAGTGGTGTGTACGTCCATACGAGACAAAACGCAAATACACTGTCGCATTCTGGTGTATACTTTGCCTTCCATGAGCTTCTATTTCATTGTGCGTTAACACCAGACATTTCAGTAAGCTTAGTTGTTTTGATTTTATACTAAGACACCTTTTCCACATTCCTTGCCTAGGAAACAAATTTGTCAACTCTGAATCGAGTAATTTCGAAGTCACTGTTGGTGGTCGAAACATGCTTTACTCGGAAATAAATCCTGCTATAGTTAAAAGAATGAATAAAGAAGAACGAGCAGAATACGTCCGCGTTGGTAAGCTTATGTACAGTAACCTAATGCTCGAATGAAATAAATAAAAATGAGATTACGTGAAATATAATGTGTACAGACCAAGAGAAAAGTGACTTTTGATATTTAGGACTATAAAATATGAATGGGAAGATATAAAAGACACTACAGTTAAGATAGAATACAAGTTTGTATAAAAGGTGTATACAAAGTTTTGGGTTACTTTACAAATATATAAACAAGGTCGCGTAGAAAGTTAGCGCCTACGTGATTACACCATTGAGTCTGGATCATGATAGCGGTGACTGCGGTTACTTATGCTTCGTCGTAGATGATGTGACGTATATCGGTCATCACTCAAATGTTGCGTTCGTCGCGTATGCGAGTCCTGATACCTATGAGTGATTGTTCCTTGTCTAACAGTAGATGGTACTGCATGAGTTCTGTCAACCGGGTCATCATCGCTTAGTATGTCATCATCAAACTCAGGAACAAGATGAGTGGGTCGGTGACTACTAGATATGTGACGCCTCGTCAATGGTGAACGAGGATGTCCGTGACGAGAAATCGTAGTTCCACCAACAATGCCATACATTTCATCTTCCATTTCGTCTGGATCTTCATCTTCCTCTACATCCATTTCATGCATCATTTCATCATCTTCATCGTCATCATCCTGTAGTACTTCCGCTGCCGCTGCAGCAGCTGTTGCGACCCCAATTGCTCCTACACCCTTGCCACCCAGACTACCTGGACCGGTTGATCCACCACTATGTACCAGACCTTGATCGTTATCATCAATCGATGCGGAAGTGTGGATGCCACTGGACAAGCGTATTTGCGCCTACAATAAATGATAAAAGTTGAGTTGTTATGGATGACAGCCGAAGTTACTAGCTGCGAAAAATGCAGTAATATACTGGGCTTACCTTGCTAGCCGCTTCAATCACACGATCTAGTGTGCGTCCGAATTCTTCTAGAATTATTCGCTCCTGTGCTGCTGGAGGTAAATCACGACGCTCTACTTCATCAGCTTGCGCTAACATACAGCTAGTGGTTGCTTCGATCACTTCCCAAGTAAAGAAAACGTGTGGTAGACTGTGGATGAAAAAAAAATCGTGAGATTTATATTTTGGAAAGCTGTTTTCCATTGTACAAAAAAAGTTTATCGCAGAAGGAAATATTTTACTTTCGCCGGTGAAGCGTGCATTAGACTAAATGATAGACTGCCGACAAAAATTTCCATTGATTAATTCCAAGCTAATTCGACCAGAAGATAAAGGCAACTAGTGAATTCTATTCTGCTGTAGAACATTGGCTACTTCCCTATTATACCTATAAGCATGCACGGTACCAAACAACTCATGACAAAAGCTTAAGAAAGGCACTGGTAGGAAAAAATTGACATAAAACATGAAAAACAAACTAGTAAGTTACTTTAAAATCCTAGTATGGTCTAAGACTTTTGCGCTACAGTCCAAATGGACGAGATAAAAGGCAACAAGAAAAAAAGGGAAGTGTAATAGCAGGTCGAGAAATAAAAATGGTTGAAGCAAACCAAAATATAACAACAACCAAAATCAAGAGAGTGAGTATCAATCTACAACACTGATCAACCCTAAGCCAAGTCATCTCCCATTCTTCAACAACCCATATAAAGCTTATTTCACTCGACCCAACCTGAGTGGTATTTTCTCACCTCCCTAACATTTTATATGCAATTCAGAGCTGGTTGTCAAAATAGCTGGAAATCCCAAACAACTTTCGATGATTCCTTCGTTAAATTATTCGGCCAAATTTTTTTCTAAGATAACGGTTCTGAGCGTATACAGTAAACAGACATCTATATGGAGTGATTATTTTAACACATACCTTATACCGTACACCTGACAGCTCCTACCTTGACGTGGTGGTCGGGCTTGCTTATCATAATGACCCAACGAGCTATGCTGGTGGAACGCTTGTTCCCTCGAGGTCCTACCATACCAGAAAGGTCTGTTGGATAGTGGTTAGACGAAAAGCTGTTACCGTTGTGGTGTAAATTACTACACTATGATGGGAGTCTGAGGGCGAAGTCGTACTGCTGTCAGCTGGATGGGGTGTGACAGCAGTAAGGTGTTTCCCTTGGATGACCACCACTGCCATGTTGATGCTGCCTTCTCAGTGGAAGTGGCGGGTTTAGAAAAGGTCGCCCCTCCCCCCAAAAAAACACAACCATACCTTACGGTCTGCCGGATCGGCGGTGTTGATTCATTTATCGTTTCCTTCCGACCATCCGGCTCCAAAACAGCAAAAGTTCAAACTAATGGTACACAAAAGGCTGTGTGTGACAGGCCTCTAGCAGATGTCCCATGAGCTCTGCGGTCACACAAATCTCTTTCAGGTACCTTAGGAAGAAATAGCCTTCCATGGTGTGGGCAGCCGGGAAGTGTCAACCCCTCTCACAACTCTATCAGCACTCAAGTTTCTTCAGACTGCTATCCGCCTCCCTCATCATTACCTTCTAATCTTCCTTCACGTCTCTCGACTAACGATACTACATCATCTTCAATTTCTCCTAGTTCTGCAGCCTTCGACAACGATCTGAGTCCACAGAATAACATCCCTGGTCTCCTTAAACCACGCTCCAAATTACATATTGGAGCCTTCAATGTTTTCACCCTCCTTCAAATTAGTCAACAGGTTTCGTTGGCAGACTCTAGCAACTCGGGCCATGGATGTGTGCTGTGTTCGTGAGACACGCATACAGGACCCAAGTGTAGTTATTCACCTGACCTCTCCCGACCAATCTGGTGAATCTGCAAGATTCACCCTTCGAGTTTCTGGAGATTCGATCTCTGGCTCTCGTGGTCTTGCAGGTGTAGGCATAGCACTAAGCACTAGGGCAGAAAACTCACTACTAGACTGGATCCCAGTTGATAGTTGCCTCTGCGCTATGCGGCTGAACGGCACAGCGAGAACTGAAAGGAATAGTGAGACTCGCCGTTGTCTCTTTGTAATCTCTGCTTACGCACCCACTGACTGCAGTTCGGATGAAGTGAAGGACGAGTTCTACCGTAAACTGTCTAGCCTCCTCTCGAAAGCCAAACATTCGGAAGTGGTGATTGTTGCAGGTGACCTCAACGCACAGGTGGGTAGACTGAGTGAGGCAGAAAGGCACTTAGGTGGCACTTTCGGAGTCCCGATGGAATGTACAGGTAACGGTGATCGCCTATTACAACTGTGCTCAGATAACCGCTTATTTTAAGCTAGCACAAATCTCAGATATAAAGAAAGACACTGTCTGACGTGGCGTCCACCGAGCTCAACTCAGCGATAGACACAGATAGACCACATTGGTATTAGTCATCGCTGGAGATGATCGGCGGAAGACTGCCACTCCTTCTGGAGTACGTGTTTGGGTAGCGACCACACGTTGGTCCGAGCGCGTATATGCCTGCGTCTCAATGGACGTAAGAAAGATCTGGCGACAAAACCACTACGAGTGCTTCTGGACAACGAAAACACCAAAGCCGCTTTCAGTGAGAAATTGACTAGGCAGTTATCGGGACAGAAGACTATCACTCATGCAGAAGAAGCTTGGTGCCATCTCCAGTCTGCTGTAAAAGCAGCACTGAAGACCGTAGCCGACTGTGAAATAGTGGCTAAAAAGAGTCAGTGGATACCAGCAGCTTCTTCCGAACTAATGGATGCACGTGAACGCATCCCTGCATACTCTGAGCACAATGAAGAGCGAGCGCAACTTAAAAGTAGACTGATGAAAACTCTACGCAACGATCGCCAACAGTGGTGGGCAACGAAGGCTAGAGATGGAAAAGGCAGTGGCGATCGGTAATAGTAGACAGTTATTTAGACCTACTAAGCAGACTGAAGGGCAAAGGTCAACTGCGGTTAGTGAGACCATAGCGGAGAAGGAGGGATCTGCGATTCACTCGCAGGTGAGACGACTGTGACGATAGACAAAACACTTCTAGGAAGAGTTTAACTGGCCTGTAGCCACCACTGCGTTGCCCGCTATCCAGTCGAATCCTGAATGGAACATTGAAATAGGTCCCCCAACACTAGAAGTTGGGAAATCGGTAGGTAACCTGAAACGAGGAAGGGCAGCAGGACCAGACGGACTACCTGCTGAGGTATACAAGGGTGGTGGTAGAGTGCTCTTAGTCAGGTTAACGGAAGTGTTAACCAGTATATGGGAATCAGATATGATCCCCTCTGACTGGTCTAAATCACTGATTACCCCAGTCTTCAAGAAAGGCGAAAATTCCTCCTACTACAACCACAGAGGAATCAGGCTCAGAAACATGGTATCTAAAGTTCTATAGTTCTTCAACGCCCAAGTGGAGGTTGGGGGCAGGGAGTCTTTAGACCTGGCCAAGGGTGTATCGACCAGGCTCTGAAATACAGGAACGCTTGCCGACGCGTGACGATAGCTGTATTTCTTGACGTGAACGCGGCGGTACTCGACTCCGTTGGTCGAGAAGTCTTATGGCAATGTCTCTCACTGAAAGGCGTGCCGAGTAAGTACATCACCTTATTGAAGACTCTACTCGAAAACTTGTGGGCATGTTGGAGCCTGTGGTGAGATTTCCGGGGAGCTGTACTTGTTGAGCGGTGTTCGTCAAGGATGCCCATTGTCTCTATTCTTATTCAATTTTTTCATAGATATTTTTATGGAGGTCTGTCTCCCTCTCACCACCTGACTACACAGAGGTTGACCTAATCGGTGGGGAATTTTCGTTGGACCTAGAATATGCAGATGGCATAGTCGGGTTAGGTGAAGACGCTGACAAGATGCAGAGTCTTCTGAACACTTTGAGTGGGAATTTGAGAATGTTTGGGATGCGTCTCCCAGCATGGATTCGAAAAGATACTCTCTGATTTTATAAATCTATGGCGTAACAGGGTTCAATGACTCAACACGCGATTCTTTATTTGGTATTTGTTAGGACTGACTCGTGCCTGTGAATAAGTGTAATTACTCTACGTCGTATATGTGCTCCCTTCTCATTTAAAAAAGTAGATCGTAGTTTTTATGTTAAAAACTTTTGTTAGTTTAGCTACTGTATTCACTCTCATGCTGCTAGAGCTTCAGCACTGTATAAGAGATTTTTATACTGGGTGAAGGTAAAATGAAAATTCGGACCAGTATAAATACTAGTCTGCCAAACCACGGCTTTCGCAGATGGTCAAAATGATAATCACGTAAACTAAACGAAACGAATCTCTGGAGATCGGGTTCACTGTCCCCATTGGGTGTTGTGGGATAGGACGTTTTGTGTAAGATGTTCTCATTAATGGCAGACATGTTGCTTATGCGTACAACCTATATACCTAGCTCCACAAAAGCAGATGAAGTGATACATACATAGTGAAACACCCAGCAATAGCCATACCAATGTTGACTATTGGATGGCTAATACAAGTGATTCGATGTGACAAGATGTTAGGCTAAACGTGTTTCAGGATATTCCTTTCACTGTTGAAGGTCAAATTCAGAAGTAGTTTCGTGTTTCACTAACGGTTTCTGGTGTGTATTGTTTTACTGTCAACAGATTTTCTGGATATCCATTTTTGATGAATATGTACCTCAGAAACTAGTTCTTCCAGTGTGCTGGATTTGCAATTTTCGGATTCGAAAAGATAGGGGATGGACTAAGCTTCTCTTCCAGCTGTGGAAAGTAGCTGATCTTTCAATCAACGTAGGTTTTCGACAAATGAGCTCAAAAAAGATCTATTCTCCGTTAGTAATGTGTCAAGGAATGGAATAGTCAAATGTAGTACATTTCGGATCATTAAGGTAATTAAGGAATAACATCATTGTCACATGATGAATTTGTCAGTATATGTTGCGTGTATTTCTGACTGTTTAACCATTGAATCTAGTACAGCTGTTTCCAGCTTAGAGATATCTACAGGTGGGCTTGGTTAAAACTTCATTGCAGCTCCATCCTTCTGGCAGTAAGAGTTGTTGGACCTAAATTTCACATCGTAAGTACATCTTAGTTAGCTTTTTGGAATACTTTATAGATAGCCTTCAAGCGGCATAAAAACAAAAGCAGCTCCCTCTAGTACTGCCCGACTAATAGTGCAGTTTC